GGTCTGTGACTACAGGCCAAATTTGGGGCTGGTTCTACACCTTGTAAGCCAAAAAATATGCAAACTGGACTCGGATTTTCATCGTATTGTGTTTTAATGTTTCTGACATGCTTTGTCAAGATATTGTGGTGTTGGATCTTTTTTAAAAAACTGACGTATCTTGCTTTTATAAAACAATATTACCTATGGCGACTAAGTGCAGAATGGAACTCGTGCATACCAATACATCGACGCTAATCCAGAAATCACACAATGCCACACCGAGTGTCCACGCCCGTAGGACCGTTGACCATGCTCCTAGCGGTGTCACTATTAGGCCAACCTATAAATTGCTTATTACAAACTGGAGATCAGCAAAAAAGCGAATGCAAATAAAATTTCTTAAATTGATAATTAAAAGTGCTAAAGTTTCAGAAATTTTAGCAAACTAACCAACAAATCAGCAACAGCGAGCGAGAATATTAAGTAGTACTGAGGTCGGTTCCTTAGGTCCCGCTCAGTAAGAATTGCAACAATAACAAACAGATTACCCACGATGCAAGCCATAATGAGCACAGTTAGTAGCGCCCCAATTGTAGCCATCTGAAAAGAAGCTCAGAGTTTTATCTTTTAAAATAACTGTGAATAAAAAGCAAGCACAGAAAAGAGCGTAAGCTGCTCTCTTTCGTTTTTTCCTCGCGCACCGTGGGGCAATCTTAATGAACCGGAATATTTCAAATCAGTTACTCCTAATTTTGTTTGCGTTTCCGACTTATTTATCTTTTACAGTTATATTACTTTTCATTTTCTTCACCACTACTACTTATGACTTCATCATTACTTTATTAATGTATACGCTTTATCATAATCTATCCCAGTTTACAGAGGAGTGATGCAACAGCAGGATTTCTATCGAATAGTTGGAGCTGTTCTTTATCGATAACTGAAGCTCCACAACACATTTGCAATTCCTGTCAAAATGAGCTCACAACCTAAGTGAGGGAAATTGCACTTGATCAAAGAAAAAAAAA